TAGTTCCTGTCATTTATTTCAGTTTGATGATGATTATCCTGCACCATTGCAATATGATGTTGATTTTCTAGCACATTGCAATATCGCAATACCACATAATGACGATTTGCAAGTTTAGTACCAGCTGACACTTGTTTTAGCTATAACCTGTGTAAAATTCGCATGCCATAGCTCATATTTGCCATTTACTTTTGCAATATAGGTCATGATCATAGAATTTCCAGAATAAAAGAGTATTGTTCTGTTCCCTTCTCGAGCTCGATTCGAAGCGTAGGAAGTTTGTTTTGTTAATTTATATGTGAAGTAACCCATTTGAAGATTTTAACGACAAAGATGATTAGCATGACTAACAACATCGTACGACGGTGTAATGAATGGCCGACTTTCCTTCAGAGCATAGTCATCGTAAATCGCAATGGGAAGAATGAAATTAAGGTTCAAGTTGTGTAATAAACTAGCGTTGGATTAAAAGAGTTTTCGGTTCACGGTCGATAATCTGTAAATAAACTACCGGTTATCTCTGAACATACAGAATATAAGACTAAATGACAGTCCTGATATAGAAATAATCATTTCATTAATTTTTCCCTTCATTACAACTCTCTGGTACAAGACCAGTGCTAATACGAGTGCAAATGACAGTACACATAATTTCTATCAAGAAATTAATGACACCAGTTGGCAGCAATGCATTGAGCTGAAGACGAGAAGCTGAATAATGACTTGCAAGAATTAGCCTTATGGTGCATATCCAATACGCCGATGCAGCATTATCTATCGGTAGGAGAATGGTGCATAAAGTAGCCCCGGAAAAATTAGCTGTTTCAGCAGAAACCTGACGCAAGGAAATACCTATAAATTTAGTATTCAAGCATTTTGACTCTAGGATGCCGAACAACTATGAAGACAGTGAAGCAAGATGTCATACGAAAGGGATTGACTTAAACAGTGTTAATTTGCGCTATAGAGTGGTAATGGTTGCGAAATCAAAGATCCCATAGAATACTAGGCAGAACGAG